ATGAAGTACTACATGACTCATGTTTTCAATCCAAAATTAACTTTATTTCATTTCATAAAAAGGCACAGATTACAAACAACAAAGTTCACTGCCTACAACATCACTAACTTCCTTAATTCAAAGTCCAAAGACTAAGCTACTTAGATTATTGCCACTGTAGACACCCAAATGTGTCTCCCCAAAACCAAACCCAGTGATGAATACCTTTCATGTCATTTGATTATCGAACAAAGCGAAAGTGTGAAAAGTCTAGTGATGAGGATGCTTTTATTAAAATATCTCTTCTTTCTGTTTTTTAAAATATTTCTTTTTCTTACCTTATTTATGAAAAACGTGCATTCCAGTTTATTTTTGTCCATGATAAGGGTCCAATAATAGTGTATTTGGATGGGACTTGAAAAGACCTTTCCAACGATATATTATAAGCCCAATTCCGATGAATGATGAGGAAGTTATGGTTAAAATACTAAACTGGGCCCGATTTGGTTTTTATATGCGGCCCAATGATCTAGAGGAGGGCCTATTATTAATTATCATTCCTAAAGATATTAGGATTGATTATAGTCTTCTAGAATACTCTAGAAGGTTCTTTTAAATCCTAATGGAGTTAGGATTGATAATTAAGTTTCAAAGAGTTTGAAATTGAATAAAACTACTCCTTTTTAGAATCCTTGTTTTGTACGAAGTGGAATATATTCAGATTTTATTTTCGTGCCTCATAATCTTTATCCAAATCTTATATGGTTCGATAGATCTTGAAATTATCTTTCCAATGATATATTATAATATTAAATCTGAGCTATAACGAAAAAGATATGAATGGAATATGAAACTCTATCCAAAACTGACACCGTCCCACTATTTCGGACATATCTTTTTATATACAAACGATTTTAATCTGATTTCAATTGGGTTGGAAAGTAGACTTCAAGAGTTTTCCAACGACATATTATATTCTTTATTTGACTTCCAGATCAAAAGATATGATAAAAACAAAAAACACGTGAAACTGATTATTAGCGCCTGATGACAAGCATTAGCGCCTAGCGCTAACCTTCAGCGCCTAGCGCTAATGACCAGCGTCTAGGCTAATTGTGTTTTATTCTCGTTGAAACTCTAATTCTTTTTTTTTATCCATCCGACTGATTTTCTCTATAAATAGCCTCCTAAAACCTCTGTTTTCAATCATCAATTTTCATCAATCATCATCAATTCTCTCTCACCAATTCTCATCAAGAAATTCTTGATTCTCTCTCTCTTTCTAAACCAACCCTTTTACAAACACAATTCCTCATACATTAGCACTAGACACACCTAGCCAAGTTCGAAGTTGCCTTCTCCCTAGACGTGAAAGGTTTTAATTTTTGAGAATTTGGTCTCAATTCTTTATTTCAATTATTTTATTTAATTGTTTATTTTATATTTTCCTTGAAGTAATAACGTGTGTATATTGTTATTAGAAATAGATACGAGGCATCCAAGTAAGTTCTTTAATTGTTTGCATTGTTATTATGAAATAGAAAACATGTCTAGGTTGTTATTATAATTCCTAATGTCATGTTAGGGTGTTTTGATCTTCCTAGTATCATGTTTAGGGAAAAAGTTATAATATCAAATATGCTTATTATGATTCATACGATGCTTCCTACTTTCTTTCCTAATATTCATGTTAGTATCATGTTAGGGCTATATATTTGATTTTTATTGCTTAGTGACATGCTAGGGTTTGTTATTAATCTTGTTAGTATCATGCCTAGGATCTTGCTATTAATATTATGCTTGAACATGATTATGATTATTTTAATTATAGTTTGTTTTTATAATTATTATTTATGATTATTATTATGTTGCTTGATATTTATTTGTTATTGCTTGATCACACCTTTTATGCATGTTTAAAGGGAATTTGTACTCGTAATCATGCTTAATAAGATAATTAATAATCTTGTTTAGGGTTAATATGATTATAATTCAAGTGATCGTCAATAATAGTTTTATTTGTGCATTAATATTCAACCAACATAGATAAACAGGTTTAGAGTTAATCCTATTGATTTCATGTTAGTTAGAAAGCGCACATGATTACGATCAGAATAAATTAGAGACCTATTATTAGGGCAGGTTCAATTTCTTTTAGGTTGGATTTGAACCTTCATCCCCGAACTACCAGTCATGGTTCCAGACCTATTGGAGTTGACGATCTCCTAGATCGTTAAGGGGTGTAATCTTCACCTCGCGAACGGTTTACAAGTTCCTAAACTTGTTGGCGACTCTTTTGCTCTATCTTCTTTCCCTTTGGACGCCACCGTACTTAAGTGTATGATCACAGTGGGGTTCAAGCTAGGGGTAATGCTTCTAAACTTGTTGGCGACTCTTTTGCTCTATCTTCTTTCCCTTTGGACGCCACCGTACTTAAGTGTATGATCACAGTGGGGTTCAAGCTAGGGGTAATGCTTGAAATATTCCCTACAGCCACTAAACAATAACACCCACTAAACACCACTATTTGAACATCAACACCACAATGCCAAAGAACAACCATGAACAAAACAAAGCCATTGTCAAATTGTATTCATTCCTTGAAGACCTCATCAGCTCAATCCTTAATTGGCTAACTTCAGCTTTCATTTCTTGTTCTTCTTCCTCAAAATTTCCCTTCTTTCCTTGCAACCTCTTCACTTTGTCTTCTAACATACTCTTTTGCATCTCCAATTCAGCTATAGTTGTTTCCCTTTCAAAGATCTCAAATCGCAAGTCATCCCCATTGGTACAATCAACCCACTTCATGAAATTACACTCTGTATCCTGTACAAATTCACAAATACCCTAATTTCAATCAAATTTCAACTACAACATAACAACAATTAAGTTACAGGCAACAACAATTACAATTCAATCAATAAACACTCAATTAACTTACAGGTCATTTAGGATAACCAATATTAGGACCCTTCTTCACCGTACGTACAACCGCATCTAGCCCACAATTGCATCTCGTGGTAGCATAAAATCCTCCCCTAGAGCTTGATGATGATGCTGGGGATCCATTAAACTGATTCCTTCTAGTAGCCATTGATAATTCAAAAGAAAAAGAAAAAAAATTTCAAAATTAACTAAGGACTCAAATAGGGGAGATGAGAGAAGACATAAGAGAGGAGAGAGAAGAGAGAAGAAGAAATAACGGGCAAAAATTTTTTTGAGGAATGCTGACTCAACTTACTAACAACCTAAAAACAAGGAATTCAAAATTACAAATTTAAAAAAAAAAAAGAGAAAAGAAATGCCACGTAGGCTTTTAACCTGCATTAGTAGGTAAGTCACCTGCTGGGACTGCTAGAGGAAAAATTGGTCAATAGTTAGGATTATTGTAGAATAAATGTTAGTTGGGACTATTGTAGGTAAATCACCAATAGTTGGGATAATTAAACTGTATTTTTCCTTAAGAAAAACTACGCTTGGGCTTTTGGATAATATTAGCCTAGTTTCATTCACCCTTGTTTGTTGAGCTTGAAACCAATAACTGACTCTAAGGTCCAATTTACTTGGGCAATTAGGTCAAATCAAGAAAAAGGTTAATAAAAGTCAAAAATTTGATTTTTTGATGTAACAATCGTTATCGTAATAGATAATACGGAGTATGTTTTATGTGTTTTTTTTTTTTTTCTTTTTTGAGGGAATATGTTTTATGTGTTTGATGGAGTTTTTTTATTTGATTGTTGATTTTTTATATTTTTGACATTTCATTTATTTTGGGTTGTAAAGATATATTTACTGTAATAGATCATATGTTTTATGTGTTTGATGAAATAATTTATCGATTTTTGGACTTGAAATTTGATTGTTGATTAGTTTATTTTAAAATTTTCATTTTTCTTACTTAAGGTTTGAAGATATCGTCACTATAACAGAGGATATGTTTTAGGAGTTTGCTGAAATCATTTGTCCACTTATGGATTTTTGAATTCTTTGTGAATATATGTTCCCTGTAATAGAGGTTATACTTTAGCGTTTGGATGACTTGATATTCCCTATAATAGAGGATATATTTTTAATTTCTCAACCATCTGCACTTTCTGAAGCCAGAAATGTTACTACAAAACGAAAATCAAATTCAAAATCTTGGCATGTTTTGAACTTTCAATGAAACTTACTATTTTTCAATGATGTCTTCTATTCCTTTATTCAAAAATAAATAAATGACATCTTTTATTCAATAGATGATATACTTCGTATATCATGATGTATATCATCCTGCTGTAGGCTGATATAATCCTTTTATGAATTATATTATCATGTTGGTAGAGGAAATCAAGCTGTTATTATTCAGGTGTTGGATGATATCAGTCATCTGTTGACTGATATTGTTTTTTTTTCCTCATATTTTTTCCTACTATTTCAGTAAATCTGCTAAGAATTCTCCTAGTATGAAAACTACTAGTAAGTAGTAATGTTCCCAAGATTGGGAAAAAAATTGTAGAAAGAACGTTTTGATTTGAAGTATTAGATTTTAATTTTGCGTATTTTTTTATTAGCTAGTGAGTAGAGATTAGTGATATACTATTATTTCCGTTTTAATATTTATTTGCAGTAAGATTACCTCAGATGATATGCCAGGTGTTGTAATTGCTAGTCAGTCAAGTGCTCCTTCAATGACCTATTTTGTCAATCTTTTAACAGAAAAACATGTCTGATGTTCAAGAAATGGGACTTAATTTGGTGGAGTATTGAAGATGTATCTGTCTAAAGATCTAAATAGATCGTGTACCTTGCTCTCAATTACCATCCTACTGCACTGATTTCCGTAGTTGGAGATCTATAAGATCTCATTCAATAGTATTAATCTGCATAATGTGGTTGAGATTATTTCTCACACTTCAACTCCTATCATTTGAGCTGTCTAGAATGAAGTCTTCTAATTCTAATCCAAATAAGCATGTAATGAAGAAATGGAGATATTATAATGGTTTAGATCCTACTGAGGAACCACAGATATTACGCACTGGAAAAAGAAGTTCAGTTTTGCATTTGGATTAACTAACTGATTCAATAGTTTTTCGCTATCACATGTAATGAGAGAATAGTGTCTTTTTTGGTTAATAAAATTAGATTCACTTTACCAATTAAGAGCAGAAAAATACCAAAGTTCAATTCAGCTAACATAAGAGGCTAACAATTGCTCTTCAAAAAACAAGGCTGCTGTAGAGTTTCAGATGTACAATAGCTTCAATAGTAGACTTGCCTTTCACATAATAAGAAGAAGAGCTACTTTCAACAGTTGGATGTGCCCCAAAAAAGGTAAAGGAATCATTTAAGACATACAATCCTTTGGGCCCTAAATTACACATACATGGCAGGTCAATGTGGTTGGATGATCTGATCGTTTAGCTGCTGTGCAGCATCATCAGCCTGTGGAACAACAGCATGTCTCCGTTGCCACTCGCGAAGGTAAAGAACCGCCAGCAGGCAAGCAAAAAGAGTAAGTATTGTTGCATTTCCTTCCTCCATGATGATGTTTTCAACCCATGCTTCAAGTTTTGGATAGACTTCTGGCAGAGAATCAATTGTGTGCACCTGTAATAAACTACTACATTAGCGTTGCTGACAACTATTATAATAACAAGGGCTTACATGGTATGATTAAGTAATCAAGGATTAGATTTAAATGGGAGAACAATACCAGGGAGCTAAATTAGGGGAACAATTGTTTATGGCCATTGTTTATTTTATGAGGTTGTAATAAATAATAATACACCGGTTATTAAATCTGTTACAAAATTTTGAAGGAACTTTGATGGGAGAACATTACCAGCTTGACATTTATCACATATGCAGATTTAATTCAAATGTATCATTTGCATCTTGAAAAATTAAATTTAAATGTATCATTTAATTAAGGAAAATTTGTAATTATTAAGTCAACCTTTTGGCCATCCGCTTTTATTACGTCAACCTTTTGATTATTTTTAAACACGTCAACCTTGTACTACTATTAACTTATATTACGTTTATTTACTGATTACCTGTTAAACCCTTCACATTTTTTGAACTTATGAGATAGAAAATCTGACTTGGCATTTTAACCCCTAAAAAAATTAAAAATTATCACTTAATAATGCCAACTCATCAAGACTATACTCCAATTTTAATGAAAAAAAAGACCTAGTACTATTATACTCCAAATTTCCAAATTCACGATCCTCCTTTTCACCATGTTCCTTTCATCATCATATTACTACTCTCCATTAAACACAATACTATTCAATTCTTCCTTTAATTTTCCTTCATTCCTTTAATCACCTTATATTCATCTTTTATCTTTAAACTCCATTAAAACACACTCCATATTCCAGGTGGTGCATGCCGTAGAAGACATTTCGAGCATAATTGGCAAAATTTAAGGTTAGTTTGCGAAATTAAATCTCCTAATTTGTGTGTTTAATGTGTAATTGGTGTAGTTGATGGAATTTATGGTGATTAATTAAATTGCAAAAATTGGGAATTATCTAGGGATTTTTAAAATTGGGGGAAAATTGGGAATTAGGGATTATGACTATGTGATTGTAATTAGTGATGTGAAATTAAAGGGAATTCAACTAAGTAATTTTAATTGTGTGTTAATTTTTATTTAATCAATCTAATATTGAATCATATAAAAATCAATTTAGGTGAAAATGGTGGACCAATTTTTTGATACTGTGACATTAAGATTTTGGCATGGTGGTCAATTTAAAGTGATAGAAGTGATAGATAATGGGCAGTTGGTGTATTTTGGAGGAGATAGTAAAACATTTGACCTTGATCCTGATGAGATGAGTTATTTTGATGTGGTTGACTTGGCTAAGAAGTGTGGTGGTTACAACAATGTTGATGAAATTTTATACTTAATGCCTGGGTTGAAATTGGAAGATGGGTTAAGGAAAATTTATAGTGATACCGAAGTTGTGGAAATGGCAAAGTTAGCTGTGAAATTCAAGGTTGTAAATGTGTATGTTGTGCATTTATTTGTGGACTTGAATATGGCCTCCAATCATACAGAAAACGGTCCCCCCAAAACACAACCATCTAAAGCATCTTCTTCTACCTCAACTTTAAAAAAATTAACACCAAAAAGGGGCCCACTTGATGCTGTAAAGAGGACCTCCCCCCAAAAAAGATTCCAGACCAACAAAAAAATAGTGTGGAAACATCTGTCGATAAATGCCAAAAGCAACCCTCCACATGCTCTCAAAAAATACAACATCCACCCTTATCTACTTCTACTAAACCTAGTCTCACATCAGAAGCTCAAAATCCTACATATTCAAATTTTTCCAAATCATTAGGTTGGGATGCTCTGGTTAGTGATATAAGTGAGAGCACTAACTCAGATGTGCCTTATGAACCTGATGGAGATTTTGTTGGAAGTGATGAAGAGGTTTTCTATGATTATGATGTAGATGAAGAGAATGAAGGGATTTATGGGGGTTTAGAGGAAGTAGAAGAGCAGTTTGTTGATGGCATACATGATAATGAGAGTGATAATAGTGATGATGAGTACAGGGATGTTGTAAATAAAGTGAAGGTGGTGAACTCTAAACTAGTTGATGTTGCTTTGCAACTCCAGAAGGAGGCAGCTAAATGTAAGCTTAGTTCACAAAATAATGAACAAGAAGATCAAGGGAATGAGGTTGCAAGTGAAGTTGATGGTGAAGGTAATGACTCCGAGTACTTTGATAGTGAGGATGACATACATACTCCACCAGAGAGTGATAACGAGGACAGATCTGAAAGAAGATCAAGAAGGGGGATGTTAGTGAATTCCGAAACTGACTTCAAGGGGTTTAAGTGGAAGGTGGGGTTAAGGTTTTCTAATAGGGAAGCATTAAAAGAGGTTGTGGCTAAGTTTGCTATAGTGAATGGTAGGAATTTATTTATAAGGATCAGCTCTACGAAAAGGAGACAAGAATTAGGTTATAAGTGTGTGCCTAACTGTCCATTTTATCTTTATGGTTCTTGGCATTCTCATAAAGCTAGTTTCATAGTGAGGGTTGTGAGGGATAAACATACCTGTAACAGAGATATGAAAAAGAATAGACAACTTAAGTCTACATGGGTGGCCAAGCAATTGTTAGAGGTGTTTAGCTAGGCCACATTGGCCTGCAAAGGAGATAGTGGAGATTATAAAGAGAGCTTATGCAGCGTTGGTGACTAGAGATTTTGCATACAAGGTTAAATATGCAGCTCACAAGTTGTTGCATGGATCCATGAGAGATCATTATAGTAAGATTGGGAGGTATAGAGAGGCATTGCAGTTGGCTAGTCCTGGATCTGTGTTAGAGATTGTGTGTGGTGGAAATAAACAAACTGATCCCCTGTGTTCCAGAGATTTTTCACATGTTTCGAGGGTCTTAAGAAAGGGTGGAAGGATGGGTGTAGGCCTATCATTTGTGTGGATGTTGCCTTCTTAAAGACTTTTCTTGGTGGTCAAATAATAAGTGCAGTTGGTAGGGAAGGAAATGAGCAAATGTTTCCCATAGCTTGAGCCGCAGTTGAAGGAGAAAACAATCTTTCATGGGAATGGTTTATCAACCATCTTAAAGCTTGCCTCCAACATTGTAAGTAATTTTTTTTTTTTCTCTAGTTTAATTTATTTCATGTTTAAGCATGCCTATGTTTCACTACTTAACTTACATTTTGTGATTTTCTATGTGAAGGCCATATTGAATGTTGTTAGCACTGTATTGCCTAAGGCTGAACATAGGCATTGTGCAAGACACATTTTTGCACATTGGCACAAAGCATATAAAGGGGATGAGATGAAATTGTTATTTTGGAAGGTTGCTAAATCCTACAATGAAGCTGATTATAATGATGCACTAAAAGAATTGAGTGATGCAAACGAAGAAGCTGCTAAGGCCTTTACTACATACAAACCAGAGTTATTTTGTAGAGCTTTCTTATCCACTACCATGAGGTCTGATGCTATTACCAATAATATGGCAGACTTTTAATGGATATATAATTAATGCTAGAACTAAGCATTTGGTTTATATGTTAGAGGATATAAGGGTAGCATTAATGGAAAGATTAGTTTCTAAAAGAAAGTATATGGAAAAGCAAACCTCAACCCTTTGCCCTAGAATTCAAGCTATATTAGAGAAAGAAAAGACCAAGGCAGCTTATACCTTCCACAAATACTCTGTTCAATGTTAGGCATAACTTAGATCAACTTAATGTAGCCTTAGAAGCTAAGACTTGTACATGTAGAAAGTGGGAGATGACAGGAGTACCTTGTTGTCATGTTGTCGCATGTATTTTCTTCTTACACAAACAACCTGAGGATTATGTTGACCACTAGTTTACGAGGGAGGATTATTTGAGATCATATGCAGGAAACATACCACCTTGTGCTGGGGAGAGGCATTGGCCAAACGTGAACATGAGGTTAGACCCCCCTGCAATCAAGGTGGGACCAGGAAGGCCAAGAAAAAACAGGATAAAAGATCCATTTGAGGATAAAAAGAAACCTGGGACTTTGAGAAGACATGGGATGAAGATGACTTGTAGTTTGTGTAAGGTCAAGGGGCATAACAAAAGAAAATGCCCTAATGGCGGTCAAATTGGAAGTGAGGTGACAGAACCAGCACCTAAAAAAGCTAAGGGAAGGCCTAAGAAGAGCACTACAACATCTTTGAGTCAGGTTGCATCCACATGTACACCTCAGGCTCCTCCAGAGCACTTCACCACTACCGCACACCCCGCTCAGAGGTGGGAGAATGATTTTAGGTGGCCTAGGATCAAAGGGGAGAGGAACTGGAAGGGGAAGAACTACAACTAAACAAGGTGAAGGTCAGACTCAAGCTTTTCAAAGCAAAGGAAAGGGTAAAGGAAAGGGAAGGGGTTGAGGTCGAGGCTCCACACAAGTATGATATCTTCATCATTTGTAAGTTATTGTTATAGTTCAGATCACCATCTAATAACAACGTAATTTGTTCATTTTCAGGTCATTCCAAGTGGAGTTGGTGTGTTTATTACAGAAGATGGAACTCCCATGACCAATGTAAGCTTCTTCTCATTAATGATATTCACAATTTCACACTATGCTCTAGTTTGTTCTAATTACATTTGACATATCTGTTTTTTTTTTTTTTTTCTCTTTTTTTTGGTTTTTATTTGCAGGCAAGTGGTAGAAGAGGCTCCGGAAGGGTTCTGACTAGTCAATCAAGTCAAGTTTGATCAAGATGCTTCTGTTATTGAATTTATCTATGTACTAGACTATTTTAAGTTATTTGATGGACTTAGAGTATGTAATACACTTAAGAGATGTATTTTAAGAGTATGCTTCTAACCCTTGCTTTGTGAGAAATCATAGTTTTAGATTATTATTAATATATTATATACAATGAAGTTCAGCAAGAGATTGAATGAAAAAAAAGAAAAAAAAAAAGGTCCAAGGTAGGATTGAAGAAGGCACATAAGTGCCACATTAAGGCTCAAAATTATTCTTTGTTAGGTTCAGGTACACAAATGCGTTCATAAAGAAGAAAAAAAAAACGTCATTCGTCTTTTTTTAAAAAAAAAAAAAAAAAAAAAAAAAAAAAAAAAAAAACAGATGTAAAAAAAATGATGTTACAAGGTTAACGTATTAAAAAAAATAATCAGAAGGATGACGTAATAAAAGCAAAGAATCAAAAGATTGACTTATTATTCACATAATTTTCATTTTTGGAAAATTACATCAGCATTTTTACCTCCACCTAATACTCCACGTAAGCAATTAACCCGTTTTTGCAGGTCATTTTCTATTTTACGTAATATAAGTTAATAGTAGTACAAGGTTGACGTGTTTAAAAATAATCAAAAGGTTGACGTAATAAAAGCGGACGGCCAAAAGGTTGACTTAATAATTACAAATTTTCCTTTAATTAATGACTTGTGGATAGAATTTCAGTGAAAGCAAGCAACTGATTAAACTCACCAGAAAACTGTTGGCGTAATTTTTCCGAACCCATAGGCTTGTAAGTGCAAGGGTGACAGGTAATTTTGCTGCAGAATCAATCTCCAGAGCTTGATCGTAGTAGCGTTTTGCAAGATGAAGATCATAAGGAAGTCCTTGACCATGCTCATGCATGTACCCAAGATTAAATATTGCCTGTGGATTAGACTGAGAATTTGCATGCATATATGCCTCAGCAGCACGTTCATAATCTCTGTCTGTACCCTAAAAAGAAATCAAGATAACAATGATCAGCAATGAAAATTTTCAAACATAGACAACCTCCCAAAATTTAAAACTAAAAATTCACTCTTCCAATGCACAGAAAAATAGATTTACTCAGAGATACATACCCTATCATAATAGTATGCATCTCCTATCAACAACGCCGCATGTTCATTACCCTGCTCAGAAGCCTGCCACCATAAAGAGTGTGCACGTTGATGCCTTTCAGCATCTATGCATAGCCCAGATGCTCCAATACACATGCTACGTTCCCCAAATTTATCAAGAATCCATGCAGCATTACTTTGAGCTACCTCATAACCCAGTTCTGCCATCCTGGAGTACAAGAGTAATGCTCTACCTACATCACCTTTCAAGTATGCTTCTAATGCCCATCTAGATAAGGAATTCCATGGTCCCCGTTCAGCAACTACCTTGTACAATGCAGTGGCCTGAAAATCAAATTAACCCAACATTAAAATTAAAGTAAGTTAAAATTATTTTAAGTGCAACCTGCACCTAAAATTACGCAGAAAAGAATATCGTAGAAACCAACATGTACACAATACAGTTTTAGTAGGCAAAATTAGGCATAGAAGTCAATATTCTTTACTATCCTAAGAAATACATATGGAAATAATACTAATTGAAGTACAATTTCATCAAAATTCTGACAGACACTGAAACTAATTGGACCCCTGTAAATTTGAAACTCCCTATGTCTTATATATAGATATGCCCGTATTTTTCAGGTGTCCCAAAAAATTGTGCTCATTTGTGAATTATTTCATTTTTGGGGTGTGGTTAGGAATTATACCCTTAACATATGTTAACACTATAATAAAGAGTGTTGTGTTTTTTCGATTTTGCACCATTTCACATTTTCCCATTTATTCATACCATGAGTAATGTGTTAATATTGCAATTGCATAAAAATTAATACTATATTAACCAGATCTTGCCACCTTCACCTCATGAGAAAATTCATCTACATCATGAGCTTATGAATCATAATCACACTAACAGAATTAATGGTGATCAAGTATTTTGATGGACAGATCAATTACAAGATCCACTTACCTGTAACCCTACACTCACAACTCTCACTAGCTCACTTAACATTGGCAGAGGCACCTTTAGCTTGGACTAAGACAAGGGGCCCTCACAGCCCACAGCAGGTGGTTGCAGTAAAGAGACTGAGGGGGAGGGCAAGAGAAAGAGAGAGAGAAAAAAACAAAGGTGAAGTACCAGTAAACGAATCAAGGTAACTAAAGTTGAGCAGTGATGTGGTTGGAGACAGCAGGAAGGAGTGGTTGGAGTGGGGAGAACAGAGTGTCAGTAGAAGCAGGAGAGGAGGAGAGAATAGGGCGGCGGTTTATTTAAAAAAAAAAAAAAAAGGAAATATGGGAAGAACTGAAGGGTTGGATGAAAGTGACTAAGAAGCCAAACCCTTGAATTTAGAAATAGGGTTCTAGAGCCAAGGATTCCATCTCCCTTTATGACACTTTGCATGATAACAAAAACTCATACCACCCCTCAAATAGAACCAAACACAGATCGAAGTGTGATGGAAAGTGACAAAGAGAATAGCTGAAAAAGTCATGTCATGTCAGCAATTAAGAAAGCAAGCTAAATCAGTTTACCATTTGAAGATTCCTCTTCAGACCCACACCAGTATGAAACATCTTTGCCAACTGATAAAAAGCCTTTGGTTGACCAGCATTTGAAGCCATTATAAAATATTTGCAAGCCAGCTTCACATCTTTCTTTAGCCCCATCCCTTTGAGATACAATACCCCAAGATTATAGAAGCCACCAGAGTCATCATTATCAGCCGCTTTTTCAAATAACTCCTTTGCCTGTCAAGAGAAAGCCTTTGCCTAAGACAACTGAAATTCTTAATATAAAAACAGAACAAATAAATACCAACACTCGCTAAGCAAAATCATCAGAATTAGAAAAGAGATGCAGGTTCTTGGCAAATTTTTACACTTTCAAAAAAATAAATTGTTAAGATCATTAAAACTTGCTCAACAAATTTATATAGTTTTCATAATTTAAATCCCTAATCCCAAATGCAGAACTAATTGCTGAAACATCTTTCACATGACCCAGCCCAAGTAGGATGGGAATTCTCAGTCTGTCTCCCTTTCTTTCTTTCTATCTTTCTTTTTTCTCTCTCTTCTTTTTCTTCTTCTTTTTTTTTTTTTTTTTTTTTTTTTTTTGGTGTTATTCTGGGCTTTGATATGGTTACTTGAGTACTTTTCGCACAAAATAGTTACCGAGCAGTTTTGGTTTCTACTTTCAAATGTAGAGGCCTTGAAAGGACCATAAGGTGTCTAGGCTCTGGAGATTTAGGTTACCTATAAGGCTATAATTAATCTAGGCACATAATGGCAGCTTATAGTGGCCTGGAAATGTCTAATAGTCAAGCACTGCTGGACGGTAGGGATGGCAATGGTCAGATTCGGATTTTTCATCCAATCCGAATCCGAACCTACAAGCTGTCAGATTTTTAATCTGCCTCTGACTCCAATATACGACTCCAACTCCGACCGTACTTTAAATTTTATTTTGAACCAATTATCAATAGCAACAAAATATATAATCAATGCCAAAGACCTATAAATCCAATAGAATAATCAAAAATATATAAGTACATGTACATATAAAAGTCGGAGTCGGGTCAGATAAGTTGGAGTCGGAGTCAAAGTCGGAGTCGGATTTTTTAAAACAGAGTCGGATTCAGATTTTTTAAAACGGAGTCGGATTTGGATTATTATTTTTCGGATTCAGCTCGGATTTTTTTCTTTAAACAGATCGGATAAGGGTCAGATCCAGAGTTCCATACTATATTGCCATCTTTACTGGACGGTAGTTGCGGGAATGCAATTGCTCAACGGCTAGCTGAAAAAACCACAAAATAAAAGCTACTTGACAGCATATATAGCTAGAGCTATCGTGCACACATGAACATGCATGTTATGCCCCAGTGGCAGATCTCTTTTGCACTCACGTCTGTTAACTACACTTTAAGGTACTCAATGTAATCCAAATAAGATACTGGGGGGCTGTGGAAGAAAATTCAACCATGCTGCTATGGATTATATAGAGACCTTCAATTATGGACACATACAGATAACTCTCAGCTAGTAAGATTAAAAAATAAATATAAATAAATAAATAAATAAAGCTAATATGAGTGAATTTGGGTTGTTTACAACTCAACAGACACTGTACGCACTTTTCCAACCACACTATACTCTGATCTAAAGCAATTGAGCCACTAAATGCAATTAATTTAAATGGACTGACAGCTCAGGATAAAAAACCAGTTAGCAGCAAAAGTTAAAAACCAAAAGTAGGTTCATGACAACACAGAGCTCATGGCAAGAAGATCTTACCTTCGTATAATTCTTCTTCTCCACCCCATAACCTTTGACATACAAATATCCAATGCCATTATAAGCTGAGTAAAGCTGTTGTTTAGCTGCAAGAGTGAGCCATTCCAGAGCTTTTGTATAATTCCTGTCCACCCCACTTCCCCTTACATATATCTCCCCAAGAAGCTCCATGGACCTGGGTTCTCCTTTCTCGGCTGCCTTCAAGAACCAGGATAATGCCTTGGGAATATCACGGCGCAATCCCCTGAGTCCAAAATAATAGAATATGCCAATCTTGTACATTGCCGCAGCATTACCCTTTTGTGCCTGGTATTCCAATATCTGAAAATCTTCATCATCTTCCCCTCGCGACTTCCTTAAGGCTTCCTTGTTTTCCTCGGCTCCAACATGAATCCTTACTGACTCAACAACAGGCGAATCCTTAGATATCAAAAAACTATTCACCGCCACTTCAGCTAATTCACCATATAGTTTAGCTGCTTTGTCATACATCTGCAGCAACGAGACTACAATTCATCACTAGACAACACGAAAAACATGCAAATTCAACCATATACAAGCAAACAACTCCAAACAAAATACTCACCACATATTACAATAATATCAGAAACATGAAAATTGATTCCACCATATAAACCTTTAAAATTACCCAAATTAAACACAAAATTCGACATTCTATAATGGTGCATGTAGTTGCTCTAAACGAAACTATAACCCATGTTTCCCCAATGAACTATGAACATTTTCTTTGTAATAGAAACAACAAAGCATTGCAACATAAGCAACCAAATTTCAAAATCATCATAAAAACAATATAATAACTCCGTTTCTTATTAGTAGCCACAAATGATATTATTTGTGAGACATAAAAAACTCATTTGTCGCAACTAATAAATAATTCCTTCAATGTCAAAAACATGCAAAATCGAAAATCACAGAAGCAAGAAAAACCCTTACATCTTGGCGAGCATAGAAATTAGCAAGAGCCATCTTAGGCTGCAAATTACCCCCATTAGAAGCAAAATAATGGTACAAAAACGCCTTAGCTTTATTCCTCTCTCTACCAATACCCATATGATACAAAAACCCAAGAACAGACCTAGCATGAGGATCACCACTCTTAGCAGCAGCCTCAATTTCCGATGAAGCTTCCTCCATCAATCTCAATTCACCCGAACTTGCAGCACCCACCATCTTCGAAACCCCTGAGTAATACAATGATACATCTTGATGTCTCCCCACTTCGTCTTGTTCAAGAATAAATCGCTATGATCCAGAATCGAGCTCGTCTTCGGATTTTGGTTCAATTCCACCAAACTCGTCCCAGTCGGATGAGTCGGGATCTGAGTCAAGATTGGGGTGTTCTTCGGTTGGATTGTTGACGGATTCTTTGAGATCATCTTGAGTGAGAACGAGGACGTAAGGCCGGCAAAGGTAACTCAGAGGGAGGAGAGATAAAATCACAATGAAGATCAGATGCCTGAATCGTTGCCGCATTTTTTGCCGTCGACAGGTGGTTGAATTTGTTTTTCAATTCTTTGATTTTGATTAGTGTTGTAATGTGTGAGTTCATCCTGTTATGTCACTAGTACTGCAATAATGCTGATTTTCTTTTTTTTTTTTTTTATTAATTTTTTTTTTTTTTTGACAAAGGGAACACACAAAACATAAAAAACTAAAAAAACATAAAAAAAAAAAAAAAATAAAAAAATATACGACAAGTAACAAAGGAATCAAGAACCGTGCCAATATCCTATAAAACCAAACCACAACAATATCCTTGGGACCAGAACCCGAAAACAAATTCAAAACATTTTGGCAATCAGTGAAAAGGGAAACACTAGAAAACCCCTGTCGACGAGCATGCTTAAGAGCAAAAAAGCACGCCAACAACTCCACATGAAAGGCAAAACAAGCCATAAAAGCATGAGCCCTACCACCACGAATCAAAGAGGAATTAGCATTCCAAAAACACCAACCTACACCAACATTATTATTCTCACGATCCCAAGCACCGTCAAACATTAAGGAAATATGACAATCGTTCTTAATATTACCACAAAGGGCATAAACCAGAGGAGTCCCAGAGAACCCGGGAAGAATGCTAGCCATAGAAGAGTCAACCAAACGCGTCGCCGTACTTCTATCATACCAAGAAGAGGCCAGCTCAAGAATAACATGAGGAGAAACCACTCCGACCGAAAACGCACATTATTCCTAGTCAACCAAATAGGCCAACGTAGGTCGAAAACACGATCCAAAGAGTGCCAATTACCAGAACCAATAAGAGAAGAGATTAATTCCGTAAACCAAATAGGCCACGGAGATGAAGGGTCAAGCGACTAAGGAGGGGTAAACGGAAGAACCTCTCAAAGTCTCCTAGAAAACTGACAATCCCGGAACAAATGGGCCGTCAACTCAGGGGCCTGGTGACAGCAGACACAAGTGGGATCAATAGGAAAACCCTTAAAAGACAGAAGACCAGCCATCGGAAGTGCATTATGAACAATCTTCCAAGCCAACATTTTCCATTTTGGCAGAATGGGAGAACCCCAAAGGCGTTTCCACCAAGTAGTAGAACTAGTGGCGGAATCCAAGTTGAAATGCTGAGAAATCACACACGAGTAAGCCGACTTGGTAGTAAAAGCGCCATCCTTGGTATACTTCCAGTAGACAAAATCATCAATCTTCTGCCTAGGAAGCTCAAGGCCTAGAATGAAAGAAGCTACATGAGGGGAAAAAAGCGAAAGCACAAGAGAAGAATTCCACGCATAAGCATTTGGAAGTAATAACTCAGAAACCAACGAAGGATGATTAGCCAATGGAATGTGATCCTTAAAAACTACTTGAATCTGAGGAATCCAATTATCACCCAAAATACTGATACTCTCCCCTGAACCAACCTTCCAGACCAACCCCTTTTCCAAAACTGAACCACCCTCCAGAAGACTCCGACTTCCCCACGAAGGTCGGCCCCTCAAGAGAGAGGGTTTCAAAGACAATAAAGTCGGGTACTTGGCCTTAAGAACTCGAGAAGCTAAAAGCTGAGGCTGTCTCATTAACCGCCAAGTTTGCTTAGCAAGTAAAGCCAAATTAAAGGTACGAAAATGCTGAATTCCCAAACCTCCTAACCCTTTGGGAATATGAAGAGCTGCAGAAGAAGCTAAAGCCATTCCCTTTTCATCTTTGCCGGATTTCCACCAAAACCGTGCAAACAAGGAATCTAGGCGATCACATATTGTGGCTGGAATCTTAAACACTAAAAGAATATGGTTAAAAGCAGCCACAAGAACCGAATTGATAACCACAAGCTTAGCCACAGGAGAAAGGTGAAGCGAAGCAAATCAAGAAAGACGTTGAACCACTTTATCAACCATAAACTGAAAAGCTTTACATTTGCTGCGACCTAAATCCACCGGCAGACCTAAATAATCACCTATAGACGACCGCTCCTTCATTGTAAGAGTAGAGGACAAATAATCCCGATAATCAGCAGGAGTATTAGAACTAAATCAAACAAAGGATTTCTACAAATTAATCATCTGGCTCGAGATTGAACAAAACTCATTTGTAACAGCTAGAATGTGATCACAAGCAGACGGGGAAACTCGAAAGAAAAGTAACGCATCGCCTGCAAAGAAAAGATGCAAAACAGAAGGAGCCCGCCTAGAAATCTTCAAACCTTGAAAAAACCCTTGTTGCTTATCCCGCCGCAGCATCAACGAAAACACCTCCATACATAACAAAAAAAGGTAAGGAGACAAAGGATCCCCTTGACGAAGACCACATTTAGGACGAAAGGGCTGAGACGGGGAACCATTAACCAAAATCTGGTAGGAAACTGTAGTAACACATTGACGAAGAATATGAATCCAATAAGGAGGAAAACGAAACTGGTGAAGAACCTCCCATAGAAAATCCCAATTTACTCTGTCATATGCTTTGTTCATATCAAGCTTTAAAGCCGCCGAGCAAACTTTAGAAGAGGAAGAAGACATATAAGACAACAACTCATGAGCTAGTAGACCATTATCAGCCATCAAGCGACCAGGAACAAAAGCATTTTGGGTGTCTGAGATCAAAGAAGGCAAAACACAGCGAAGTCGATTCGTCAGGCACTTGGCAATACATTTATAAATAACATTGCACAAACCAATCGGGCGAAACTGAGAAGGATTTTCTGGGTGATCCACCTTAGGAAGCAGAGTAACAAGGTACGATTCCATTCTTTCAATAAATAACCATGAGAGAAAAAATATTGTATTGCTTCAGTAGTTTCCTTACCAACCACCGCCCAATGAGACTTGAAAAAACCTGCTGTGAAGCCATCCAGACCAGGCAATTTATTAGAACCAAAATGAAACAGAGCACTCTTAATCTCAGAAGCATAGTAACAAAGGTACGATTCCATTCTTTCAATAAATAACCATGACAGAAAAAATATTGTATTGCTTCAGTAGTTTCCTTACCAACCACCGCCCGATGAGACTTGAAAAAACCTGTTGTGAAGCCATCTAGACCAGGCAATTTATCAGAACCAAAATGAAACATAGCACTCTTAATCTTAGAAGCTGAAAAAGGAGTTATAAGATATTGCAGATCTGTATCCGAAAGAGAAAGCATATCAAGACTTTCCCAAGCACATGAACCCGGAGAAGAAGAAGTATCATGACAATTGTAAATCTGGGAAAAATATTGCTGAAGAAGATTGGCAATCCCTCACTGGTCGGAAATCCAATCATCATTCTCATCCCTTAAACTCAAGATTTTGTTCCTACGACGACGTGTCTGAACTGATCTAAACAAAAGCCGAGAATGAGATTCACCTAAAGCATCCCAACGAACCTTACACCTCTGCTTCCAAAACAGAAAGGAGGTCTGAGCATGGGATATCTTATCCTTTCGTAAATTAAGAAGCGAACAACGATCCTTCAACCGGGATAAGTCAAGAGAATCTGAATGCACTGAGGACTAAAGATCTTGCCAATCAATACCTCATTGTTTCTTATGAGTTACACACCAGGATAAGAGATTATGTTTCAACTTATCAAGCTTCCTAGAAACTGAAAACATCTGAGACCCAGGGCTAAAATCCTTCCGGGAATCAACAATTAAAGAAGAAATTTCCTAAAGTCCCTAACACCAATTTTCAATTTTATAAGGACGTTTTCTAGTAATTAAACTCCCAGAATCCTTTAAAATAATAGCAGCATGGTCCGAAAATAAAATTGGCTGATGTAAAATCACAGCGTCCGGGTGTAAATCCAACCAGGAAGAGGTAGCAAAACCTTTATCCAATCTTTCAAAAGTGGGATTTTTGCAGTTGTCCATTAGTCCAAGTAAGCGGAGGCCCGTAAAAAGGAATATCCATTAGACGAGAATCTAGTTTGCATTCTAAGAAACCATGACGTCCAGGAATTTCTAACGAACCACCTACTTTGTTACTAAAATACTCAACCTGATTAAAATCCCTTATAAGTACAACATCAGGAACAGACTGTAAAATAATTGAAATTTCATCCCAAACTGATTGCCTAGCAGCAATATGAGGCGACCCATACACAAATATAATATATTTTATTGCTTGACCAGGGATAACCACTTTACAAAATGTAACATGAGGAGTAACCGAGATAGGCAAAACAACAACCGAGGCAAACCAAAAAACTACCAAACCCTCACTAAGACCCATAACATCCGACCCACAAAAACTATCAAAACCTACAGAAGACAACTTCTTAACTGCTATATCTACAGATACAAAAGTTTCCATAAGAAACATAATATCAACACCCAAATAGCGGACTAAATATACCACATAAGGAACTTTAGGGGAGTCCGCCATCTGAATTGCTAAACATCGCCCGCGAATCTCCACATAAAGCCCACAAAATTAGAGTGAAATGTCACTTTTGCCCTCAAAGTAAAAAACACAATTTCTTCTCTCTATTCTCTACTTCCACTTTCTCTCTCTAAAAAACTTTCCGAGCGATGTCGAGGCGGCCCGGCAAGGAAGTGGCGGCACAGGCGGCGGGTGGACAGCGGTTTTCCGGCGAGAAGGTATTTTTTATTAATTTTGTGTTTAAAAATTAAAAAAAAAAGGTCGGAGGCGGTGGCGGCGCCTAGGCCAGACGCCACCACCACGGCGGAGGCGCCTAGGCCAGACGCCACCACCACGGCGGCGGCGCCTAGGCCAGACGCCGTGACGGTGGCGGTGGCGTCTGGCCCAGGCGCCAGAACCACGGCACCGGCGTCTGGCCTAGGCGCCGCCGCCGTGGTGGTGGCGTCTGGGCTAGACGCCGCCGCCACCGTTACGGCGTCTGGCCTAGGCGCCGCCGCCTTTTTATTTTTATTTTTTTTTTTTTTGGTTTTAAATTTGAAATTTAATTTTCGAAAATAATTAATTTTTTTTTGATTTTTTTTTAAATTTGTTTTTCTTTTTTTTAATTTTAAATTTTATGTTCCTCTTTTTTTTTTTTTAATTTTTAATTTTATGTTCTTGTTTATTGTTTTTGTTTTTTTTTTTTTGAATTAGTTTTTTTACTTAAAAAAAATTTTATGTTCCCTTTTTTTTTTTATAAATTTTTTTTAAAATTTTGATGTTCTTCTTTTTTTAAGTTTTTATAATTTTATATTTTTCACTTTGTTTTTTCCAATTTGTTTTTTTTGGGTAATTTTTTTTTTTTCTTTGTTTTTTCCAATTTTTTTATTTATTTATTTATTAGGTTATTAATTTTTTTATTTTTAGGTTGTTAATATTTTGTAATGTTTTTAATTTATTTTCCATCATATGTATATTGTTTTATTTATTTATTTTAATTACTTTTTTTATGTTTATATTACATGTTTATATTGCATATTACATGTTTTGTTATTTTGTGTTAGGCATCGTATTTTCGTTCTGGGGCTGGGAAGAGTATGGACATTATGAGAAGTACGATGAACTCAATGGAGAGCTCGGGGCCCAGACACGTTAGATCCCGTGGTATTTCGGCCTCGGCTCGTAGAGAACGGGTGCACTATTCTGAGGATGATGAAGATGATGATGGTGATGAGGAGGAGGAGGAGGAGGATGCAGATGAGGATGTGGACGATCAGAGTGGACCATATGATGATTACGGTCCATTCAGTCAGAGGCTTGATGATGTGTATGAGACGCGTAGGGTAGACGTGCGTAAGGGTAGAGATGGTAGATTTGTTAGTAGATCTGGCACATCATCTGCGTCCACTGTGTCTGCGGTTAGCAGAAAACGGTCGAGGGCCGTTAATGATTCTTGGGTGGTGAGGGGCGAGGTGGCTGGGGGACCTATAGACGGGAGTGTGATTCCTAGCTTTCTAGGACACATCGCTACCCGTATTTGGGAGGACCAAGAGCGGGCTTTGGATAGCGGCATTTTGAAATGCCAAACCCGGGAGAGGACTTGTAACTTCTTGTGTAGTTGGGCTGAGGCTTGGCCGGAGGAGAGCGAGATGGTCGGCCGATTGAGGGCCACTAGAGTGAGCCACCTTCCTGCCACCATGCATGAGAGGATTGACTCGACGCTGATCACGGCTTTCGTTGAGCGATGGCAGCCGGACACGAACTCTTTCCACCTTCCGTTCGGTGAGATGACGATCATGTTGCATGACGTCGAGGCCATCCTTGGGATTCCCGTAGAGGGAAACCGAGCATCTGTTGTCACAGATGCGGATCAGGCAGATTTATTGGCGGAGCTGTTGGCGGTGGATAGGGCTGCGCTGTACACAGCGGCACTTGGTGTGTGGGATCACGGCGGTGTTAAGATCGCAGCAGTTTTGCAGCGATGTTTGCACCCCACTTCACGTAGGACGCAGGACACACAGCTGGCTGCATATGTTTTTCTTCTTCTCGGGTGTACCTTGTTTCCGGATAAGAGCGGAAACAAGCTCAGGCCACGCGACATAGTTGACGCGTGTGAGCCCGACAGAGTAGGCCAGTTTTCTTGGGGGTCGGCTACATTAGCGTACATGTATCGCCAGTTAGGATTCTCGAGCCGGGCTGATGCGGCAGGTATCACTGGATGTATGACGTTGTTACAGACGTGGATATACGAGTATTTCCCGGCGTTTCGACCACACCGCGACCCGGTTCCTATTGGGGATGGCCAGCCACGTGCCTGTGCGTGGAGTCCGCGTGTCGAGAAGAAGTCCATTGACCGCCTGCGATCGATACGGTTATTGCTTGACAGGATGTCCCCATTAGAGGTAAAGTGTTTAAATTATTTCTACTTTTATAGTTTGATGTGTTTATTGTATGAATCTTACTAATTTTAAAAAATGTGCAGGTGAACTGGATGCCTTTCGGCCAGAACCCTAGTAATAGGGTACCCAGGACCCTCTACACGGGACTGATTCAGTATCGTGAGATCGTAGAGGCGTACATGCCGCAGCGCTGTCTTCGCCAGCTTGGATATGTCCAAGTTGTTCCTCCTCCACCAGCATGGCCCAGTAAGGCCATCCGATCTGCGTCGTCGAAGGAGTACGTCGTCCAATGGCCGGCAAGCATGATTGGCACGTGGGAGCAGTTTCCGATGGTTGCCCGCATATGGATTGAGCAGCTGCAGCGGCCGCCAACTGGGGTGGCTGCCATGTGCAACCACATCATTCCACCCGTCCAGGAACGGCATCATGATGTTAGGGATCCTGTCTTTATATGGAAAATGTTCAATGTCCATTCTGCCTGTTGCACACATCAAAAAACACAATTAACAAGTCAGCAGAAAACTTGACAAACACTCTAAAAAGTAAATTAAACTAAAGTACCGTACCGGTGCCGGGCATATTCACCGGGCTGAACACTTGGGCCGATGTAATTTCTCAACTTCTCCAAAACCCAACGGTAACTCGCAACCGTCTCATCCTTCATAACTGCATAACCAATCAAAAAGTTCTGGTTCGTTGGAGTCATCCCAACCATCTCAACCAGTGGAAACTTATACTTGTTTGTCTTGTACGTTGAATCGATCAGAATCACAGATGGCCAAGACGAAATCATATCAGCACAATCAGGATGCACAAGGAACAAATGAGTCACCTCCGATGTGTCTTCATCAGATTCAAACCAGTACAGGTAACCACGTGCTTGTGCCTGGTGTAGAAGCTGCTGTATAGGGTTCCTTCCCTCTGACCGTTCAAACCTCAATTTATGTCTGACGTTGTAGATGTGTCTTCGGTTTGGCTGGTCTTCAGGAAATTTCTCCAACACAGATGCTAATATTTTAGCAGGCTTCACTTGAGCATCACTCATTTCTTTTACAATTAGTTTCGCAGCAGGACTTAGGCCACTTAACTGTCGATGACCCACTTCATATGCGATCATCTCATGGTTGTGATACCCCCATTTACCGTAACTCTTCACTTCCCAACCGTCACCCCTTTGCTGTTGTCGAACCTTTACTCTGAACTGACACCCACAACCTTTCCGCTTTGTATCAAACCGAATCGCTTGACTGAAATCTCGTTCCTCCCTTTTGCGATAACGGTCGCATCTCAAAATGCGATCCATTCTACCATCCCGTTGAGATTTATGAGTTGCTACTACTAAACAAAAACCTGATCTAATTGCAACCTGTTTCGCCCAATCAACCGCTTGTTGAGCATCTTCGAACAGACCATCGTGTACAAAAATCCCACTATAATCATTTCCGTCTCCACCATAATCCTGCAACAATAACATATAAATATAATCACATAAGAGTAGATTAAATTAATACATTTGACACAACATTAGCACAAAAGCAAAAACAATAATAAATTATAAACAACAAACAAAGAAATAAACAAAAAGTATTCAAAAAAAAAAAAAAAAACAAAACACAAAAATAAAAAACATAAACAAAACTTTAGATTAAATAAATAAAAATAAACCAAAAAAAAAAAAACAAAAAAAAAACATAAAACGAAAAAAATTGTACAAAAAAAATAAAAAATAAATAAATTAAAAACAAAAACAAATTAAAACAATTAAAAACAAAACAAAAAAAAAAACAAAAAAAAAAGAAAAAAATTGTAACACAAAAAAAAAAAAAATAAACAAATTTTAAATTAAATTAAAAAAAAAAAAAAAATAGTGGTGGCGCCTAGCCAGGACGCCGCCACCGTGGCGGTGGCGTCTAGCCAGGACGCCGCCACCGTGGCGATGGCGCCTGGCCAGGACGCCGCCACCGTGGCGGCGGCGTCTTGGCCAGACGCCACGGCCACGGTGGCGGCGTCCTGGCCAGGCGCTAGAGTTACGGTGGCGGCGTCCTGGCTAGGCGCCACCACTACGGTCACGGCGTCCCGGCAGGACGCCAGCCGCCAATTCGTGGTTTTAGATGGCTTCGTACCTCCTTTTCCGGCGTCAACGGCGTCTCTCCGGTGCATCTACCCGACGTTGAGGGCTCTTCGGTTTCACTCGGCGATCCAGTCCTGCTCCACATTTTTTATGAGTGAAAAATTTTATTTTCGGTAAAAATTAAAACAAGGGCAATAATGTCAACATTTTTAAAAAATGTGGGCTTTATGTAGAAAAACGCGGGCGATGTTTAACAAATCCCGTCCGCCATACCTAGACCCCTACAGTTCCAAGCCGCTATGTTCATGGATCCCTTGGTGACTCAGTACGGGGAGTCACCCCACCCTCAGAAGCATTAGAAAAGTCATCCGAAACTGAAGAACCTGTTGTACATTTGCGTTTTTTAAAAGGTTTCAGAAATGATAAACATATGGACCCCGCATCAAGAGCCTGCGAACCCGGAACAGGAACATCCCGAGAAGTAGATCGACGTTTACTCGGGCAAGCATCTTTCACCCAATTCCAGAATTTATCACCCTTTTTGCTTAATTTCAAAGTAAGTGGTTTCTTCCCTCTCACCTTACTTGAAACTGATTGAGCTTGATTTCCAGCAGAAGAGGAATGGATAGAAATAGGAGGAGAACACTCCATTGGAACAAGATCATCCGTTTGGATGATAGAAGGTGAATTAACCAAATTTGCCTCATTCTCCCCAATAGGAATCGGAGAATCCATGGGAAACACAAACCCATCCGACGAAGAGTCCGCCATATAACCGAATTCTGATGAAGTATGAGTCGGAAAAGATGATGCAAGTGACGGAGACGGCGAAGGAATTAAAAGTGGCTGAATTTCCCGTTGAGAAGCAGAAGAAGAGCCAATCCAATTACTAGGTCCCGCACCAAAGGGGTCTAGAAACAGAGGTCCAGACGGACCCAGGGGAGGCGGAGAAAAGTGCGCAGCCACCGCTGGTGCCACCGGAGACGAAGGGATAGCATTCCGAGACAAAGCATAAGGGTTAGAAGCCAACACAGACGAGGGCATACCCTGTGAAAAATAAGGAGCATCAAAACAAGATTGGCCTTCAAAGATATGGGCCTCCAAACTAGAGTCTGAGAGAGGGCTTTGGACAACGTTAGACTTAAAAGGGTCTGGATTAGAGTCACGTGGCCCAGCAGATCTAATTGGGCTAGAATTAAACCCATTCACATCAGTCCCTGATCTTGGAAATAAAACCGACCCATGAAAATGAACATGTCCTTTAACCCGACCCGAATCTGAATTAGAGAAAGATAAATTTTGTTCCGAAAGATCATCAACAACACCAGCTGTCACATTCATAGCCGACCCTAATGGATTTCAATTGAACACCTAATGAGGTAGAAGGGGGCCATCACGTGCAGCAAGATTACATCGCATCGAACATATATGGCTTGCATGGTCGACAGGTGGCGAGCTATTATGCCACGTGCCCCTGTAATCAGAGTCTGGGAAAACGTGAGGGGCGGCGCAGGCGAGGCATAGATAGAGGTTGTTGTGGCCTTGCCGGACTTTCAAACTCTTCCCTGATAGCCCGATTAATCCCCAAGTTTCTCTCCAAAACTTCGTCTTGCTCGCTGCGAAAAACACCAGGAGCCGCTGATGGAAATAGTCCCGGCAAAGACCGAGGAGGAAGTTACCTGGTTGACAAAGATTCCAAGCTACCCATTTCAAAAATATCCCTATCAGATGGATGAGAATCCCCTGAATATTCGGACGGGTCGTCATCATCATGAATGCCAAACCATAGCTCTATTGTCCAATTTTCTGGGGTCGGATTAATACCACGAGTAGCATTAGAATATAAAGGAACATCCATTGGCCGAAATAGAACACATGTGCCTCTTTCGTGGAGTCTACGAAAGCGACGCTCAAGGTGGAAAATTACTTCGTCTTGTTCTTTTGCACACGTAGTCCGACCGTGTCCGACAAAACCACACTTTTTGCAAAATCTATAGATACCCTCGTATCTAAATCGAACCCACGTGGCTTGATTTGCATAGGTAGGAAAGTAACAAACTACAATCAAAGGTTGTGATAGGTCAGCCAATAATTTAACACGATGACGAGGGATAGGAAACTCACCTTGCAACTCTTCAACCATGGTAATATCACCAACATGAGCAAGTACTGACGATGCCACCGTCGGAGTTGAGTAGCGAATAGGCAGACCTACCATAGTAACCCACATGTCCGCCTAGTGGAGATTAAGGTTCTCTGGAACAGAGTGTCCTTTAAGCCGTTGAAGACCATAAAACTTCCTTTAAGGTGAACCCATCCCTGATTATCAAGGTCTACAACATCTTCTTCATTCGAGCAAAAGAAAATGAAATCACGTTCATATGGAAACACCACCACTGGACAACGAATAGCCAATACCTAAAGACTAGGTGTTGCACTAAATTAATTGAAAATTCACGAGTATCCCAAAGGCGGCCTATGACCACAAAATCCCAGCTTAAATGGCTATTTTCAAACACAGGAGGTGGATACTCAAAACCTCTAACACGATGAAGATAAACAAAAGTATTTGGAAAAATACAATCACTCATCTTGAGAACTTAGAGTAGGAACAAGAAACCTAAGAAGAAAAGCTAAGCTAGTAAAGGGAAGCAAAGAAACTTAAAGGAGTAAAGAAACCTAGGATGAAACGAACAAGATAATCCCAACAGAGAGAATTTCCTCTCACTAAAACTTTCTCTCACAAGAAGAGTCTAGATGTCCATTGTTCTATGTACCATAGCGATTTGGCGTGGCATATCCAATCAATTTTTGCCACGATAGCTAACAAACAAAACTATGACTTCCGTTTAGCACTTGTTTCATTTCGTAATAATTTCAACGCTATCATTTTACGTATATTTCATACTCACTTCATATTTTAATAAGTGTTACAATTTAAACGGCATATAATTTTAGGTATGTATGATTCAAATAAAATAAGAGATTAGAAGGGTAGTTGGATCATTAAAAAATATATAAAGAAAAATAATGAAGTTAATATTTTTGTTGAAAAGTACTCCCTCCGTTTTTAAATACTTGCTCCATTTCTCTTTGATACGCAATCCGATGCTAAACTTTAATCACTAATATCTTTAATTATCAATAAGTATAAATTCTAACAATTGAAAATTAATAATCTATTCATTGAGATGATTCCAACAAGTACCCACAAGATTATATTTTTTCTTATGTATAAATCATAAACATTAGACAAAGTATAACAAATGATTAGTGCAAAAAATAGAAATGGAGCAAATATTTAAAAACGAAGGGAGTAATAAATATGAGAAGCAATAAAAGTAAATACTCCTTCCGTTTTTTAATACTTGCTCCACTTTTATTTTTCGGCTGTTTTTAAATACTTGCTCCATTTCCTTATTTAAAAAGGTTTTACAATATTTAATTAATTTCTCACATCAAGTTGATCCAACAATTCATATTATCTCTCCTTTAATTCTCTCCACTACTTTTAGTTTTTACAATTTATTCTTCTACCAACCCCACTACCTCCATATTTTATTACTTTCTCTAATTTCTTCTAAGACTCCGCGCATGAAGAAATGAGTTAGTATTTAAAAACGGAGGGAGTAATAAATAAATAAAAATAAATAAATAAGTAGTAGTGGGTTTGGTAGGGACCATGAAAGGAGAAGATTTTTTTTTTTTTTGGAATTTAGAGAGCTACAAGGGCAGGTGATGAGAATCGATCCCAAGATCACCTAGAATGGGGAGGGGAAGCTTTAACCACTTGAGCTATCCCTCACTCTTCCGGAGAAGATTTAATATTAAAATATAACTTTTTTTGTTACAAAAAAAAGGAAGTGTTACACTTATTAATACACGGCCGCATTTGGTAAGTGTAACACTTATTTAAAACAAAGAGAGTAATAATACCAACACCCCTATAAATGGAAATGACTTATTATTTTATTATTTCTTTTTCTCACCAACCTCACTTTCACTAGTACTTCCTTCGTTTTTTAATATGCAACACAATTTTTCACAGTATTTAAGAAAATAAGGTGTCATATAATTTTTTTTTTAAAATAAGGCTTGTTTCGGGTGTTTTTGTGTCCTTTAGGAGAGTTAAAACTCAAAGATTGGATCCAACAAAGCTGCCTGTTGAGGAAGCCGGACGCTGAAAAAGCGTCGAAGAATGGCAAAGGTCCACTCTATGCTGCTGGCGGCTTAGAAGCAGGGGGAGAAAACGTGCTCCAGGCGACGATAAGCCGTGTAAGGAAAGGCCGGAGGAGATGGAAGGTACAAACTCCTTCAATCCATTGCCTTACCCTTCTAGTGTTAAATTCCATCACCAGTACCCGAGTAAATCCGAAGACACCCGGTCCATTGGCCGGATATATGTTTCCTACTTACAGAGTGTTGAATGTGCAAATGCTCCCCTAAGGACTGATCTTCATAACATGGTGAAAACCATGTTGAGGGTTGTCCTTGTTGAGGACAAGGACTCGATAAGAGGAGTCGACACCCTCAATTTCGATGCCTTCCTCTCCCTCCTTTTAGAGGTATATATCAAATCAAACATTTTTCTATCTTTTGGTTTTACATGCCGCTTGTAAGGACGGTGTTCCCGTCGTAGGTGGTCTTTCTCCTTAAATATTTCCATGGCCCTTTAAAATCCTAGGACTTTACACATATTAGGGTGTATTAGGATTTGAATTCATGACTTTTTGGGAAACCTTGAATTAGAAATGATCCTCTCATCACGCTTTTTTGTAAGAAACAAGTAGGAGTCGCTAATGAGTTTTAAGAAAACTCATAAACCTCGTTCATGCCTTTCTCCCAAGTAGAGTTCAAGGGATAATTAGCACAAATCGTAAGTTTACCCATGCCCAAATTGATCTACATGTACTAGAAATGAGTTCGGGAGCGAGGGTACTAAAATAACGTTCCTTTTAGGGAGGAATCGCTATGCTAGCCTTAGTTATGGCCTCTACTAGTTCTTCCTCCTTAGTTATGGCCTTTACTAGTTCTTCCTTTTTCACAATTTCATCAACAAACATTATATGCAATGTGATACCTAAAACTAAGTTAGTTGGTTTTATTTACAAGCACCAATCACGTAGGAATTACATTGCAAAGTCGTTATTCTTTATTTAATTCCAATTCGTGAAAAAAACAAAATAAACAAGATTTGCCTTGGCTTAAGTGATCAACCAACAATTAATTATTCAATTATATTCTTATTTAATGCAAGATACCGTGGAATTGATTAATTAAAAATCCGTTTAAAGTGATCAAACAACACTAATTAATTAATTAAAGTTGTTTTAAACAATAAAATAAAGGTGATTGATCTAAGTGCTCAGGATTTTACCACTTCTCTTTGTTAGATCTTCAATTAGAACACTTATGGACTCCTTCTTGTTCGGGAACCTCCACCGTAGTAACAAGTATGAGTGGGTGAGTGTTTAGGAAAAGAGGGTTTGGTAGCACACAAGTTCACAAAGTTTTTGCCAGAGTTTTAGGTTAATCTGTCTGTTTGTGCCTCGTATTAAGCCCTATTTATAGGGAATGGGTATTGTTTCGGGGTTTTCTGATGTCCTGCGGGAGAGTTACAATTCCGAGACTGGAACCGGACGCCTGTACCTGCAAAATAACGAAGACTCCTGGTGGTGGGAGCTCCGCCTCCAACGGTCAAGTTAGTACTTGATTAAGGAGTAATTAATGCGGAAATTAAAGTGATTGGGTCTCTCTAGGTGAGAGGGTTTAATGTAGGTAATCTTCTTTGTTAGCGAGATCAGCCGGTTATTACTGTGTGTAATTAATGTGTTTTTTCCGTTCTCCTCCTTAATGAGGATTAAGGGAGGTATTTATAACCTTGGGAAACGTGCCCATCCCAGGTTTAGGTTAACCTAGGGCCGATTGGGCTTCCCTCGGAAGTTGGGCCTGGGTGGTCGGTTTCTCCATTAGGCATGGAGTATGCCACATGTCATGACATAACCGGTCCAAGGTGGACGAATAAGCGCGTGCCACGTGGCAAGCCCTGACAGTTCCAACTGGGGAACACTTGGCAGGACCTGATTGGCCCACGTGGCGCATTCCGATTGGTGGGAGCAAAATCCCCTAATCATTTGCCCCTCACAGGTGGCACGTGATTGGTCACGTGTTACCTGTGACAGGTGTCGCACTGTAACATGCGGCGACCTTCTACAGGTGTCAGTCGGCGAAAGGACGAGAGATTTTCTCGCCCAAATTTTGAATTCTGAAAGTGACCCTTCGCCTTCTCACTTCGCCTATATAAGGGAGGATTGTCTTGAGTCATTTTCACACTTTGAGAACTTTTTGAGAACATTCGGACCCCTGAACTTGCTCTGACATTTCGGACCTTTTCTGCCTACCGCCTGTTCTGACAAGCCGACTGCACAGGATTTTCAGAACTTCATCAACCGTCACTCGTTCAGGTAACTGTCGGTTCTCTTACTCTTAATTTTCTTTTTATTTTTTGAAATGGCACCACGGAAGCACACGACACGACCTAGGTTAGTGATCAGCCGGTCACCGGGGACGGCTGAATCTAGGACTAAGAGTGCCGCCTATCCTTTTCCGGACCCATCTTTTCCCTTTATACAAAGTCCGACTGTATCTGTGTCTATGCAGAGCAGGATGGCCAGAACGAAAAAGACTGCTAGGATCTCAAATTCAGACGGCTCCTCCCACAGGGTGCCGCTTAGTGAAACATCTGACCAGGCGCCAAATGTGGAAGTGAAACAAGGCGGCCTAAAAGCCGGGAATTATGAGGGAGGAGTCATAGTGACCCCTTCCCATTTAACAGTTAACAATTCTGCTCCTTTTCAAAGAGAGGAGGCGGGCCCCTCCGGGAGAGGGGAGGAGTCGTCCTCTTCGGACTCGTCAGAGGACGATTCCGAGTCAAGCTCTTCTGGCCATGCTTCTTTGGACACAGAAGAGAAAAACAGCCGCCTGCAAGAGGCGAGACTTTCTCACGCAGTTGAGAAGGGGGACAATTGGGCGGAGCCATCCGCCTCTTACCGAGAGCTAAATACCCCCTACTACTGCACGGTACCTCGGGGCCGAATCACAACCATGCAAGAGAAAGTGGAGAGCTTTATTGCGAACCACACCATGGGCCCCGACTTTCTAGTGTTTGTGCCGGATCCAGAAGACACCGTCGTCTGGCCGGCTGGTTCCAGTTATGATAGCGCCTGCTTTGGCTGCTACGAGGCGGCCATCAAGGCAGGGCTTCGCTTCCCATTACATCCGACTGTTCAGTGGATCTTGGATGGGTATGAGTTGGGGTTATGGCAGTTAGCCCCAAACTCCTGGGTCAACGTACTCGGCTATGTGGCCGGGTGCGAACTGCACGGGGTGGAGCCGAGCTTCGAGGCTTTCGCCCATATGAACTATCTCAGCCGGACACCTAATACAGGCGGTACCGGCTGGTATCAATTGACAAGCCACAGGGGCTACCTCATGACGAGAGGTAAAGCAAACAAGTGGAAGGACTGGCGGAGCACCTTCCTCATCATTGAGAGTTCAGACATTGAGCTGAACAAGCGCTTCAATAGGTGGAACAGGAATCCGCCCCTTCTTGCAGGCGGCCGTAGCATGCCGCCTGTTCCCCCCAAAGCTAG